CCCCTACTGTATTTGAAACGATGCAGCCTCACGGCTGCTGCGCCTTGGCAGCAGCAGCGAGGCCCCCCTCGCAAACGCAGCTCTTATCCTGTTGAGGGGGCCCCCCCTGGGGGCCCCCCCACGGGGGCCCCCAGTACCCTGGAGGCCCTCACCAGGGAGGGCCCCTATGTATGGGGGCCCCCCGTATGGTGTGTCTAAACTGCTGCTGCTGCTGCTGCTGCTGCTGCTGCTGCTGCAGTTGGTGCTGCAGTTGGTGCTGCAGCTACTGCTGTTGTTGAATCCCATAGCAGAACTAAGCGAAACCAGCTGCACCGCCCTTTGCTGCTGCCGTTGCTGCTGCTGCTGCTGCTGCTGCTGCTGCTGCAGCTGCTGCAGCTGATGGGGCCCCCCAAACTCCCCAGCAGCAACAGCTGGGTTGTTGTGTCTAACCACCGACCGACAAAAACTTATATCTGTTCTTACCTCAGGGGGCCCCCACCGCGCAGAGCAGCAAAAGAGACAAAAGGAGACAGCCAGAGACAGCACGGAGGCCCCCACAATCACGCGGCAGGCCCACACTTCATTTGAAGGAGACAGTAGACCCATCACCGGGCTCGAGGGTACAGGGGGCCCCCCCATGTGGGGGGGCCCCCTAGGGGGCCCCCCCATGTGGGGGGGCCCCCCGGGGGGGGCCCCTAGGGGGGCCCCTGCGGGGGCCCCCACTGACAGCTCCTGGTGACCCCGGTGAGCCGCGCTGCAGCTAAGAAGCATCAAAGACACAACGAAGCAGCAACTCACGCGGAGGCCCTGCAGCAGCAGCTCCTGCAGCAAGACAAACCCCACACACAAAAAAAAAGTAAAGACAAGGGGCCCCCTAGGGTACTACTGCGCTGCTGTTGCTGCTTGGTGTATGAATATGTATGTAGCATAGGGGCCCCCCAAAGACCAGCATGAACGGCGGAGAAGAGGGGGCCCCCCAGTGCATGTGTGTGTGTGTGTGTGGGGGGGGGGCCCCCAAGGGTACTGCATGCATGACAAGGGGCCCCCCGAGGGTACTGCATGCATGACAGGGGGGCCCCCCACTCACGGGTATTGTGAGGGCCTCCTTCAGGGTATTAGCTCTCCTCAAGCAGCAGACAGCAGCAGCAAGAGAAACAGCAGCAGCAGCAGGCAGCAGCCCCTCTGGCAGCATATCCACGCTGCTGCGTTCATAAAACCCTGCCCCGTGGGGGCCCCCAAGGGGGCCCCCCTGGGGGCCCCCCTGGGGGCCCCCTTGGGGGGCCCCCTGGGGGGCCCCCCCCGAGGGGCCCCCCCCTAGGAGCGCGGGGCCCCAGAGGGCCCCAAGGGCCCCCGCAAGGGCCCCCCAAAGACAAAAAGAAGCAATAGGGTACACAGTACAGATAGAAAACAGCAGAAGTGAAGCTGCAGCAACAAACAGAGACAACTGCCAAAAGGGGTACTGCATCAGGCTCTCCATAGCAGCAGGCCCGGGGGTAAGGGGGGCCCCCGGGGGGCCCCCCGGGGGGCCCCCCCCTACTGGGGGCCCCACTGAGGGGCCCCCAGAAGAGGGGGGCCCCCACAAAGAAGCAAAGGCTGAGAGGGCCCCAAACTCCCCCCAAGCCAACAGCAGAACAAGGGGGGCCCCCAACAAAGCAAAGAGACAGTGCGGCAGCACCTCCGTCATGAAGGAGGGTACATACACCCCATGCTTGCGGGGGAGGCCCCATGCGGTGTCTCCGCGGGGGTGGGGGGCCCCCACAGCTGTACCCTGTTGGCTGCTCCTGCGGTCTGGGGGCCCCCGCATGGGGGCCCCCGCAACGTGGCCGGGGGCCCCCCGAGAGGTACCGCAGGGGGGCCCCTCAGGGGGCCCCTCGGGGGGCCCCCCAGATACACCCGCCCGGTTGTGCCCCTCCGCGCTGCACTGACGCAAAAAGGGTACAGAACCCAAAGGAGACAGCAGCAGCAGCGCAGCAACGCCCCAGCCCCCCCACAGCAGCAGCAAACTGGCAGTAGTCACGTAGGGGGCCCCCCCGGTATATGGGGGCCCCTGGGGAAGGGGCCCCTGATGAGGGGGCCCCTGGGGAGGGGGCCCCTGGGGAGGGGCCCCCCGTGGGGGGGGCCCCCGTGGGGGGGGCCCCCGTGGAGGGGGCCCCTGGGAAAGAGGCCCCTGGGGAGGGGGCCCCTGGGGAGGGGGCGCTTGGGGAGGGGGCCCCCGTGGAGGGGCCCCCCGTGGAGGGGGCCCCAGTGGAGGGGGCCCCTGGGTAGGGGGTCCCTGGGGAGGGGGCCCCCGTGGAGGGGGCCCCTGGGGAGGGGGCCCCCGTGGAGGGGGCCCCTGGGGAGGGGGCCCCTGGAGAGGGGGCCCCGGGGGCCCTGAGGGGCCCCATGGTTTTTCAGTTCCCCTTTTTGGTGGGTGAGGGGGCCCCCTAGGTCCAGCATACTCATGCGGATGCAGCAGCTCTCCTGGCCCTGCAGCAGCAGCAGCAGCAGCAGCAGCAGCAGGAGCAGCAGCAGCAGCAGCATGTGGTGTAGGGGGTATATTCCCTGCTGCAGCATGGTTTCTATCACCATGAAAAGGAGGCATTGGAGTGCGCTGCTGCTGCTGCTGCTGCTGCTGCTGTTCTTGCTGCTGCGGCAGCAGCAGGTGCTGCTGCTGCGGCAGCAGGGGCGGAGGGTACATATGGGGTGCAGCGACTGGGGGCCCCGGGGGGCCCCCCAACATATAAGGGGGCGGCTGCTGCACCACCAGCAGCAGAGCGCATGCATGCAGCAGCAGCAGCAGCTCCCGGGCTAAGACAAGAGAGAGGCTGGGGATGTAAGCTGCGTATACACCCCAGGGCCGCCCCATGTTTGTATATAAAAAAAGAAAGAAAATGCATATAAATAATAAATAAAATAATAAAACAAATGCTACTAGTTTATATGAAACACCTAATACTGCTGTTGCTGCTGTTGCTGCTGTTGCTGCTGTTGCTGCTGTTCCTGCTGCTGCTGCTGCTGCTGCTGCTGCTGCTGCTGCTGCTAGAGATGGCTAGCGACTGCTGCTGCTAGCGTTACAAGTGTAGGCCAGGGGCCCCTGCTGCTGCAGCAGAAACCGAGCGGGGTATGTGGGGGCCTTTGCTCCCGCTGCTGCAGTTGCTGCTGCTGCTGCTGCTGCTGCTGCTGCTGCTGCCTCCTCGTGCCAGGATGGGGGCCCCCGGGGGCCCCAAAAGGCCTCTTGGGAGTTAAGATGAGTAAAGGGGGAGTTAGATGAGGGGCCCCTGTGCATATATGTGCTGCTGGTGTTGCTGCTGCTGCTGCTGCTGTTGCTGCTGCTGCTGCTGCTGTTGCTGCTGCTGCTGCTGCTGCAGCTGCTGCTGGCCTTGAGCTGGCTGTTCGGGGGCCCCCAAGCCCTGGGGCCCCCAGCATGAATCTGTGCCTCTCTGTTTAGTTTATTGCCGACGAATAAAAAAAAAAAACAGAGAGAGATGCGGGGGCCCCAGCAGCAACACCTTCAGCAGCAGAGTCATCTAACCAGCAGCAGCAGCAGCAGCAGCAGCAGCAGCAGCAGCAGCGGCAGCAGCAGCAGCAGCAGCTGGGGCCCCGGAAAGCGCAGGGGCCCCCCCTGCTTCACACAGAGAGATGGGGCCCCTGTTTATTGAAATTTTTGTTTTTTATTTTTATTATAATAAAATAGTTTACTTATTCGTCTCAATGAGTGCAGCAAAGAGAACGGGGGGCCCCCCACCCCACCCCTAACCACCACCAGTACCCTCTTTGTAGCTGTCTTGATGACATTGGGGGCCCCTGGGCCTCCTCACAGGCTACGGGGGCCCCCCTTTCCTCAGGGTCTGCATATGGGGCCCCCTAACACCGCAGGATGCCGAACCCAGAAAAACACAAGAGGGGCCCCCCGGGGGCCCCCGGGGGCCCCCAGGACGATTGGGGTCGCCCAGGCTTCCTTATAGAGCGACTGAAGAAAGAACGAATGGAGGAGGAGACAGGGGGCCCCCAACACAACAGGTATGGGGCCCCTAGCGGGGTTTCAGGGGCCCCTGGGGGGGCCCCTGCTGAGGGGCCCCCGAGAGGGAAGGGGGCCCCTCAGGGGGGGGCCCCCAAGGGCAAGGGGGCCCCGGGGGGCCCCCAAACAACTGATATGATAGACTTGACGAGGAGCTCAGACAGCTCGGAGGAGGAGATGAACCCAAAGAGGAGAATGCGGGTGGGAAAGGGGGGGCCCCCAGAAGAGGAAGGGGCCCCCTTGGGGGCCCCCCCGGGGGGCCCCCAAGGGGCCCCCAAAGGGAAATCAAAGGGAAGGCAACAGCAGACGAGAGAGGGGGGCCCCCCTACGGCTTCTGCTGCTGCAACAGATAAAGAGGGGCCCCCTGTCCCCGCGGGTGCTGCAGAGGCAGCGACGGGGGCCCCTGAATCTCTCATAGAAACCAGAGAGAAGAAGAGGGGGCCCCCAGGGGGCCCCCAAGGGGGCCCCCAAGGGGGCCCCCGTAGCAAGAAGCTGCAGAAGCAGGTAGAAGCAGCCAGGGGATCCGATCCCAGGGGGCCCCCGGACCCTCTGGGGGCCCCCATCATTGTTTGCTGCTCCTCATCAGACAGTGAGGGGCCCCCTATAGAGAGCGGGGGGCCCCCTGAGGGGCCCCCTATAGAGAGCGGGGGGCCCCCTGAGGGGCCCCCTATAGAGAGCGGGGGGCCCCCTGAAGAGAAAGAGGGGCCCCCTATAGAGAGAGAGGGGCCCCCGAAAGACAAAGAAAAGGAAAGAAAGGGGAAGCAGAGGGGCCCCCCAAGGGGCCCCCGCAGAGGCAATGCAGCAGCAGAGGGACAGAAGGAAACTGCTGTCTCTGCTGCTGCTGCTGCTGCTGCTGCTGCTGCATCTGCTCCAGCAACAGCAACAGCATCAACAGCATCGGACACAGGAGCCGCAGCAACACCAACAACAGGA